CTAGTATGTCATTTATTTCGAGACGGAGTCATTGCCTCTGTTGCCCTAGGCTGGCGGAGTGCAGTGGCATTGGTTTTGGCCTCCTACACGCTCTGCCTCCTGGGTGCAGAGCGGATTTCTGCCCAGTCTCCCCCAGTAGCTGGGATCAGCGCCGCACGAGCGGCTAATTTTTATTATTGTTTAGTTAGAGATGGGGTATTCCAGGTGTGTGTTTGGCCAGGGTTTGGGCTGAATTCGCTGACGCTTCAGGTTGATCCACCCCATGCTCAACCTCCCAAAGGGTGCGGATTACGGGCCTGAGCCCTGTGCCCGGCCATTTCCAGTTGTATTGTAGGCAGACTGAGAGAGCATTGGGGTGGAATTTCAAGATAAGCACATTCTCTTCTCTCAGATCCTGACATCCTCTAACTGAACTCTAGAGGGTTGTTTTTTTTTTTTTTTTGAGATGGAGCTCTCACCTTGGTTGCCGCAAGGCTGGAGTACAGTGGACACGGATCTTGGCTCACGCAACTTTCCCGCGCTCCTAGGTTTCAAGCAATTCTCCTGCCCAGCCTCCCGAGTGAGCTGGGACTACAGTGCATGGCCACCACAGCCGGCACTTTTTGTAGTTTTAGTAGAGACCAGGTTTGCAACCATGTTAGCCAGGATGGTGGCCTTGTTTGTCTTATTTCTAAATTTTATTGATTTATTGATTTTCACAGTCATAGCTCTGGAGTCTTTTTTATCTTCTCCTCTCTAACCTGCTCTCACCAGAGCCTTTCCATTTCAGCAGATAGCATCATCCCAGCTGGCTGTGCCAGATCCAGCCGTCACATCCACCTTTCCAGCCAGAGGGAGGGTGGAAGGGCAAGGTGCAGAAGGTCAATCTCCCCCTCCTCAGGGACACTTCATGGAAGTTGCACGCTTGCCTTCCACCTACATCCCATTGGCCAGAACCGGTCACATGGCCACAGCTAACTGCAAGGGAGGCTGGGAACTGTTGCCTGTGTTGCAGACAGCCACGTGCCAGTGGAAAACCAGAGGTTCTTTCCCCCTCGGTCTTGCTGCTGGCTCACTTCTCTAGGCCACAAGCGTTGTGCACGTGTCTTCTGCTGCTCTGGCTGTGGCCTGTACTCCTCTAATCCTCTTCCAAGCTGCTGTCACAGCGCTCTTTCCAGAGGGCAAATCTGATTGGTCACTCCCCTGCTTAACTCCTCAAGGGCTTCCTGTTTTCTTTTATTTTGATTTATTTATTTTTTTTGAGACGGAGTCTCACTCTGTTGCCTAGGCTGGAGTGTAGTGGCATGATCTCAGCTCACTGCAAGCTCTGCCTCCTGGGTTCATGCCATTCTCATGCCTCAGCCTCCCAAGTAGCTGGGACCACAGGCGCCCGCCACCATGCCCGGCTAATTTTTTTTGTATTTTTAGTAGAGACGGGGTTTCACCGTGTTAGCCAGGATGGTCTCGATCTCCTGACCTCGTGATCCGCCCGCCTCGGCCTCCCAAAGTGCTGGGATTAGAGGCGTGAGTCACCGCGCCTGGCCAGCTTCCTGTTTTCTTAACACATCAGGTGCTTAATGGCTTAAGGAGGGCCCTGTGTGATCAAGTGTCTGCCTCTGTGTTCTCAGCTCATGCCACCTTGTGCTCCTGGCCTTTGCCCAGGCTCTTACTGTGGCCTGGAATAATTCCCTTTCTTTGCCTGCCTCCCTTCTTCTTGCCCTCCCCTGACCTGCAGGCTGGATTAGGAGTTTCTGCTGGGCCTCCCATGGCACCCATCCCTGCACTGGGGAGCCTGCTTTCCTGGTAGGTCACAGACCTTGTGAGGGGAGGGACTATGTCTGTCGGGTTCATGACAGTGTGGCCAGCCCCCAGCAGGTGCCTGGTATAGGTCAGGTTTGTGGAATAAATGAATGTGATATATTAATTCAGCTTTATAGTATTCATTGAGAGCTGCTGTGTGCCAGGCCCTCTGTGCCACCTGGGTGGAGGGTGGAGGACTGTTGCATTCAGGGCAGTTGAAGGAGCGAGCTGGGAAGTGGGAGGTGGAGGATGGGGACTGGGATGCAGGGGTTCAGGTTACCAAGGGTCCCAGAAGTGGTAATGCCAAGACCTAGGGTGTGACCTGGAGTGAGGGCTGCGACGAGGTGGGGTGGGGTCAAGGCCGTGGAGGAGAGTCAGGGCACTGCCAGAGTCCTGGGGTTTTCCAGGGCCAGGGGTGGTCATTGCAGTGTTCTCCCAGCTCCTCTCAACACCCTGCAGTTTGTGGAGAGCAGGCCTGGCGCACTGGACTTCCTCTGGCTGGGGGCTGAAGTTCTGCCTTCTAAACAATCATCCTCCTATGTTGCCCTGGGGGCCTTTGGACTGTCCTGAGTACTTGACGCGTGTTAGAGCGAGCGTGGGCCGCTGGCCTTGCGCTCCAGGTGGAGGGATTTCTGTTGTTCTTTTGCTGCTGCTGTTGCAGTGAGCTGCCAGGCTGAGCTTCTGGATGGACCTGGGGGATGGAATCAGGAGCTTCCGAATTCTTGGGTTGTATAACCTAAGGCCAGAGTCCCACAGCGCTGCTGCTGGGCGGAGAGACTGGACCCTGCTGCTACAGACGGTGACAGTAGCATCTGCAGTTTCCCAGCGGGTCCTGCATGCCTGGGCTTGGCACTAGTCTAAGCAGTAACTCATGTTACCCTCACGACAGTCCCACGAGGTGGGGTCTTTACTGACCTCCTATTACAGATGAGGAAACAGAGGCTCGCAGAATTTAAGGAACTTGCTTAAGGTTCCATAGCTGGTCAGTGTAGTGATTATTCAGACCCTGTCACCTGTCTCCAGAACCCACTCGTTTATCTCTCTTACATCAGGGTCGCTTTGTAGTGTGATGAGCTGAGTGGAGCTTCACCGCTCTGGGCTGATCCTGGCCCTTCCTGCCTGACCTATGGTGCAGGGGCCCTAGCTCTCCCCGTGTGAGCCCCCAAGGGTCACTTGTAATATGCCTGTGTACATTATGATAGCATAGATACTTCTGTTCCTGGTACAAATTAATCATTTACGGCTGGCATTGACTTGTAACAGATGAGATTTGATGAAATTGGCTAGCCTCTCACTGGTATCTCAGCAGAAACAGGGCTGTACCTCCCAGGCATCCTGGGAAGGATGACAGAAGCGTGTGATCTGTGCTTTCCTACCAGGAGCTGGCTTTGGAGGCTCTCTGGACTGGGACTTCGCCGTAAAACTGCTTATCAGGAACCTCAGATGAGTGGAGTGCCCTGTGTCTCGGCCACGTACTCTGGGGCCAGCTCCTCCATCCATTCAATCTGTCCGCATCCCATCCTCACCAAGCAGAGTGGAAAGCGGCAGGTCTCTGCCAGGAAAGGAGGCTCAGTCCCCATCCTTCAGTGAGATAATGTTAGAGTGGGACCGTGTGTTCCCTACACAGCCTTGTCCCCGACACAGCTTCTTTGCCCTTGCTTCTCCTTCTGCTACGAATGCTCCTCCCCAACTCCTTGGCTGGACACACGGCTCCCTGTTCTGTGGGTCTGTCCTGTTCCCACTCAGAGCCTCAGCACCGCCCATGTGGCCAAGACACAGCCCCTCTTGCCTGAGGTTGCTGTGGGTCTGTTTCCACATCTGTTTCGCCTCCAGACTGCAGGGCTCCTGAGGGACAGGGCCGGGGGCCAAGTCTCCTCTGCGTTCCTGATGCCCGGTGTTGTGCCAGGCTCTCTGTGGGTGCACGGTAAATATCTGCTGAGTGGCTAGATGTATCCGTGGTTGCTGCAGGCCAAGTGTGTTGACTAGAGGGAGTGGGACAGGCTCCCCTGGGGTGGCTGGGGTGGCTGGGGTAGAGATGGACCTTAAGGGGTCCAGAAGACTCCACCAGCTGGAGGGAAAGGCCCTGCAGAGACAAGGCACCAGGAAAGGCCCAGAGGACAGAGGAGGGGCCCTGTGAGGATCTTTTTTTTTTTTTTTTTGAGACGGAGTCTCGCTCTGTAGCCCAGGCTGGAGTGCAGTGGCCGGATCTCAGCTCACTGCAAGCTCCGCCTCCCGGGTTCACGCCATTCTCCGGCCTCAGCCTCCCGGCTAGTTTTTTGTATTTCTTAGTAGAGACGGGGTTTCACCGTGTTAGCCAGGATGGTCTCGATCTCCTGACCTCATGATCCACCCGTCTCGGCCTCCCAAAGTGCTGGGATTACAGGCTTGAGCCACCGCGCCCGGCCCCTGTAAGGATCTTGTGGGCAGGAAGGGCCTGTGCTGGGCTTTGAAACTGGGGACTCAGGTACCGCTCTAGTGTGAGGGTCCTTGGCATTTTTTTGGTCCGGGACCCCCTGAGGCCCCCGGGGAATGAGAACAGGCTCACACAGCCACTTTCAAGAGGTTCACAGATCCCCTGAGGATTAGCCACAGACCCCTCCCACCCAAGCAGAGGCAGAGCAGAGGCTTCTCAGAGTGGAGGCCAGGTGGCTTCAGTCTGGGGTTCTGGAAGGGAGGGAAGAGACACACCCCCCTGCGTCCTCCAGAGCCTCAGCCTTCTTCCTGAATCCCCCTTTACCTCCTCACTGTGACCCACACCTGGCTGTCCTCGAAGGACCCCGCTTTCTTCCTGAATCCCCCCTTTACCTCCTCACTGTGACCCACACCTGGCTCTCCTCGAAGGACCCCACTTCCCCCACAGCCCCCTGAGAGTTTTCTCTCCCCGTCCCTCTCCCAGTGGGCCTGGAGGTGGGGTAGGGTCCTCCTTGCTCCCAGCCTTGAATCTTCTGTCACCTGCAGTACTGCTTACTGTCACCCCTGGTGATAAGAATCTATGAGCCTGGGGTGCTCCCCAACATCCTCAAAGATGTGAGCCCCCGACTCAGCGTTGCCTCTGGTTCCTGACCCCTCCACGTTCACATGACCATACGCTGACCTTTATCATTGCCAGTGACAGCAGCTCTCCCATAAATACAACTTTCAACCACCCCACTTTCCAGTCTCTGCATTCCGTCTTTCCAGCTCATTCCCTCTAGTTCTCCACGTGCACAGTGCTTCTCCCCATCGACAGTGAATTGCTCCTGGCTGCTTTTCCCAGCCCCATCCCGTTCATGTGCCTGGCTTTGTACCCAGCGTGGACTCCATGGCCTGTCATTGTCACTCCTTCGCCTACACTTCCTGCCTCCTTGCTTCTCTCTCTCTTCGTAGTCCTGGCATCATCAACCCCAGAACTGCTTGATTCCAGTTCTCCACCATGGCTTTCTGCTGACTGCTCTCAGTTTCTTTTTTTTTTTTTTTTTTTCCGACATGGAATCTTGCTCTGTTGTCCAGGCTGGAGTGCAGTGGCACGATCTCAGCTCACTGCATCCTCCGCCTCCTGGGTTCAAGCAATTCTCCCTGCCTCAGCCTCCTGAGTAGCTGGTATTACAGGTGCCCGCCACTATGCTCAGCTAATTTTTGTATTTTTTTGTAGTAGAGGCAGGGTTTCGCCATGTTGGCCAGGCTGTTCTTGAACTCCTGACCTCAGGTGATGTGCCCACCTCGGCCTCCCAAAGTGCTGGGATTACAGGCGTGAGCCAGCCTGCCCGGCCCTATTTGCTCTCACTCTGAAATCACAACATGAGGCACAGTGAGCCTATGATGTGGTTTGACATCTTTCTACATTTCTGTGTTCACCCCTCTCCCAGTCTCCCAGAAGGCATGCCTCCCTCCCTCCCCTCAGCCTGCAGCCCCTTCCCCTCCACGCTTACTCTCAGCCGATAGCCCTGCTGCTGTCTCGCTGAGAAAATAGACTCGCTAAGAAAACAGAAACAGCCAGAGGAGAATTCGCTCCACCCCATGCACACACCTCTGTCCCTGCTTA